ATGGTGGAAATCCACCTGCTTCTAGATCCCACACAGAACCACAAGGCCCGGAAAGACTTTTTAGCTGAACAATATGACTTAGGTACAGACCAGATTAATGGATGAAGAGAGCTGGAGAGTTGGAGAGAAAAGAGAAAAGACCCGAGAATTGTACATGGAAGCAAATACAACAGAAGCCTACCAAGATTTTGAAGAACGTGTATTGTTAAGAAATCCAAAATATCCAATTAAAACACCTTTGATTGGTTGACCTATAAAATCACCTTTTTGCTTTGGTTATACTCATTTCAGCTGTGGCCAAAAGGAATAAATAAACAATAAAAACTTCTAAAGGGAAGGCTGAGGATCACGCAAGAAAAAGACAAAAAAATTATTTCCAAAGATCAGAATTAAAGTTTAATCCACAAATCTATCCTCTCTCTAGGCTAGGGGACACCACGAGGTCTGCCAAACAGGATTGTAGGATTGCAGTGGCCTAGTGAACATGTACATCCCCTGATTCCCATTTTTTGAATGGGAGTTTTAACTGCAGTTATGCTGTCTCTACACCACCGCTTTATATAGAGGAAGCCCATAACCAAACTCCACCCTTACCTGCCTGCCAGAGACAAGGGTTTGGCGGGAATTCCAAGCTACTAGGAGGTGATGTAGCCACTAGATGGAAGAAGGCTAGTCACCTGAACGAAGCAGATCCTATCCAACAAACCTGTGCTGGACTGTGACATGAACAAGGTATATATGTTTATTGTGCTAAACCACTGAGATTTTAGTTACAACATTTGTCACAAACATTCTTTATTACAACACTTAGACTATTCTGAATAATACAGGAGCTATCCACTGATAGGGCCAGAGGAACTGAACTATGGCAGTGGTAGAAATAAGAAGAAATACATATTTTAGAAGTAGAATCAAGAAGCTGTCACTAGTGGGAAATGAGAGCAGAATGAGGTAGGATAAGGAGTCTGGGGTGTGTTCCAGCTTTCCATCTTGGGTTGAAGTGGGTGGAGTTTTAGATGGCACTCAGAACAACCCAGTGAATTAGTCCAATAGGCAGAAATTTGGGACAGAGATGTGGAGAGCAGACACATACAGGACAATCAACCATCAGCTTATAGGTTACGGCTGAGGCCATGGGGCAGGAGGAATAGTGGATAAAATATTTTGGGAAGACAGTTTAGAGGGAGAAGAACACAGAGGTCATTTAATGAACAACAGAGTTAGTAGAGTCTGCAAAAGAGTGAAAATGGACCCCCAGAAAAGAAAAAAAAATGGCAGAAAAGGATAGATCACAGAAACCAAATTAGAATTAACACTTTAAAAACACTTTAAACACTCTAAATTAAAATAACACTTTTAAGAATTGTGAAATGATAAAGAATCAAATATTACAAAGAGGTGAAATATAATCAAAGCTAGATATTTATGAAATTTTAGAATTAAAAGATATAGGTGATCTTCATGAAGATAATTTCATGAAGATATAACACAAAATTTAGATCATTGTATAATAAGTGTCATTTGATTTTATAGATGAAAAAACAGAAGTGTTACATCTTGACCAAGTTTGTTAGCACATGTAGGAGCTTGGCTTTGAATCTTGCCTATTCAACACAACAACCCATGCTCTTCCGTTCTTCCAAACTGAATCTGAAAGCTCACTTAGGAAGTACATGAATTCAGATAAAATTTTGATTATAATTTTGCTAAAACCAGGTAAAATAGAAGGCTATTGAAACCACAGGATTGATATTTTCAGAGAGGAAGGTGTAGACAGATGATTAATATTCTATCATATTTCTGAGAGGATTCTTTATTTTTCTCTTTCCCCTCCCTCTTTTTATTCTCTTCATCAGATTCTACTGATAATATTGGTAACCAGGAGTTAAGTTTTGTAACATGAGTTAAATGTTAAATTTAACATAAGTTAAATGTTATATTATGCATATAAAAATTGATGATTTATGACTATTTAACTGGCTTGGGCCAAAGGTAAGAAGAACTGTTGGTCACAACTATCTGATCTATGTCAGTGTCTTATTTTTAAAAATAGGGTTACTTTGGTTTGAGAACACAGGATGTATTCATCTTCTAAAGTAACTTCTTCCTAAAATTATAAGGTTGCAGTTGACTGATAAAACTTTTTCTCTCATATAAATTGCACTATCTATCTTCACGTTTACCAGAGGCTTTGGTGACAATTCAGTATTTAAAGTATAATCTCCAAACAAGCTAAAAACAGAGCCAAACATTTTTAGGAGATTTATCCTATGATCTTCTTTTCATTAATAAATAAAAAAGTTTATGTAACCCTATATGTTGTCATAGAACACTATTTCAAAATAAGTACATTAGCAAATTAAATGAAAAACATGTCAAAACCTGAAGCAGCATTTACTCTTATGAGTCAAAGTGTCTGCAAATCTTGTGCAGGAAATGTATCTTTCCTTCATTTCATACAATGACATTTTGTATGTGCTGAAATTTGGAAATACTGTGCACTCACATGTTTCACATGAGCATTCCAGAATTTTGAGACATTTGAGGGGACACATACACAGTGGTTGCTTGGGTCAATACTGCCTTCATAAGAACATTTGCATATTCTCACAATTGTAAAGTTTCCCCACTATTTTCATGACCAATACTATTGCAAATGTATTTTTTTTGCAGTTCACAGGACATTGATATGCTGCAGTACTATGTAAATTTAAGTCACAAACAGCATTTATTACCTTGGTATATCATTAAAAGATGAAATTTTGTATGAAATGAAGAAAAGTAATTGGCATTATTTGAATCGTTTATTAAATTTTACCATTTTTGTACAAATGAAAATTTCTTGGCATGTACTTATTTCCTCATTTGGAATGCTTGCTAAAATATTTTCATTTAGATATGTTATTTTTGGTAGTGAAGTACCTTCCAATTTGGGACTCAGAACATTCAGTTTAGAATATACATAAAGTCAAGAATACATACAGTCAGCATTATTAAACATAAACCTGGATACTGCCCTACTTTAGTTGCAATTTTTTGATAGCAGAATTCAGTGTTTTTTGTCCCTTTTGCATTTCTATGGTAACTATTTCTATGAAACTAATGTGTTTGCTTGAAATTTTCTAGCAGAACAGAAAAGAATCATTTGTAATTTTTATTTGAAGGTTGTGATGCAGTGATGAGGAATTGAGAGATGTCCTGCATTGTATGCAAAATTATTTTTAAAAGCCCTCTACCCTACACATACACACGTGTGCACACACATCTGCATGGCTAATGTTATAGATATTAAGTACCATCTGATTGATTACTCATATTCTCTTGAAACAGAATAGCAGATCATATGTAATCACTTTAAAAAAAATAGTTAATTGAAAGAAGACAATCTAAAAAGAGAGAAGAGACACCTAACCCCATCCTGAAAGTTCATGTTATTTTTAAATTGCACATGAGAATTTTTGTAGAAGATAGGTTGAAAAATGTACCTATTACCTGCCACTTCACATTTAACATAAGAGATAAGGAAACGTTTTAAGAGATGCCATTTGGCAATACACCCTACCACATAGAGAATATAAAGAAAACAAAAAAGTTTAAGAAAAAAACAAAAAATAAGATCAAGTTTGCTTCCAAATCAAGCTCACTTCTACAGCAATTTTAAAACATTTTGTTTGGTTGTTCTCATCAAGACTTTCTATCCTATTCTAACAATTAAGAGGATCCTAAATAAAGCTTTCTGCTTTTGTAATTAAATATTTGAAGAGATCGATTTTTAGAGAATATTTTCCAAATCTATTATGTGCTGGAAGAACAGTTCTCATAGCTTCTGAATTTCTTCTCAAATGTCAGTATTGTTTAACATATTTACAAAAGCAATGAAAATAGAAAACTTATATGCTGATTTTTAAGTCCTACAGACCTGAAATTCTTAAGGAATTACTTGCAGACAAGTAAAACTAATAAGACTAAAACTTTGGTTTTTAAAATTAGAACGGTTACTATCTTTTATTGTATTAGTTATATATATTATATATATTAAAATCAAACTAAAGAACTATTTGGTAATTTTACGATACTGATTTCATTCATTAATTTAACAACTATGAATTGATTATTTACTGTGAAAAGATATTATGCCTATATCCCTGGATGCACAACAAAGGGTTAACTACTCAATAGTTTCTAAAACTTTGGGATTAATTATTGCTATTGTTATAAAGAAAGACCATTTGGTGCGTATAATGAATAAAATTTAAGAAGCAAATAAAACAAAAACTGTATATCAGTGACTAACAAAAACTACTATTTAACTGGGTTGGGATCAAAGGTTGTAAGAGCTGTTGGCCACAACTATCTGAAAAGAAACCCAAATGTCAAGCTGACCTCTTCATGGTGACTGGGTAAATACCAAGGTTCAGTGGTTTGTTCTTGATGCACATCCAAACGTGTGGACATCTGTCCAATATTTTTAGCTAGAGTCTTTTCTTTTACTAATGTAGTTTTGAAAAATGTAAAATACGTGACTTTCTATACAGCATTCATGGTTCTATTTTTATCATATTAAACAAATGAAAAAGGTCCATATTTTGAATGCATTCCATTTTCTTAAGTTCACATATGAAAGAAGCACGACACTAGTTATCTATGAATCATTTTTGATAGCAAAAATTCTCTATTGTGAATTCAGAACTGAAGAGTAAGAGAAAATAAGATTGTTACAAGCTGTGATGCAGTTTGCAAAAAAACCAAAATGGTTGATGTGAATCATAGAGACTGGGGCTGGGGTAGGGGCAGGAAAGAGGCCAAGGAGGACTTCTGTGAGGAGGTAATGTACGAGCTGAGATTTGAGTCCTGGGAAGAACCAGGGAAAGATTTGCCTAGGTAAAGAGAACAAAATGTATCAATAGGAGGTGAAAGGAACTTCATTAAGAAAAGGAAGGAGGATACCTTAAACTCCCCTGAATAGGATCTTTCCAACATAGATGGTTTCATATCTCGTGGAGAGTGCTCTTCTATGCAGCAGAACAGCCTAGGTCCTGCAACAGCAACTGGCCATCCCCTAATTCTAGATGCTACAAGCCACTAGGTTCATTTCTCACTCACTCTCCGTGGCCATTGCAGGTTGCTAAGGGCTCTGCTCTGCATCCTCTTCTCTTCAGGACCCAAGCGGACAGAGTAGTCAGTATCCGGAACACAGTGGTTTTGGTGACAAAGCAAAAAGAGAACGCATGGCTAATTGCATACCGGCTTTTAAAGGTTCCGAACACTTCCACTCGCACTTCATTGGCCAAAGCTGTGACTTATGTCAGCAAAGAAGTGTAATTCTCCAGTTTGCCCGGAAGAGGAGTAGAACTGGAATGTGGATGAACATTCCAGTAACATTACCTAGAGGGGGTCCGTGAGCAACCTGGAATTGTATGTACGTGTGTATGTGTGTGTGTGTGTAGGTATGTGTATGTCTCTGGGGAGAAGGTCCATTTCTTTAATCAGATATTCAAGGGATCTGTGACACGACAACAATTAAAAACCACTGGACCAGTTGAAAACTATCATGTAAACAGATAATTGCTATACAAGGCAATTTGCAGTATGAGTGAGAGACTGAAATGAAATGAGTGAGAGAGCTTCTCTGTGTGTGTGTGTGTGTGCCCGCACACACATGCATGCTCACACGGGATGACAAGGAAAAAGCTGAGCAAATGTGTAGACTGAAATGTAGAAAGCAGCATTCAGAGAGTGATGGATTAAAGACACAAAAGCGTGAGGGGACATGCCTGATGTAATGAGGTCCCTGAAGATGCCTGAGGAGATGGTGTCCAATATTCTATAACTTCAGGGATTAGAAGAGATTACTCTTTGACTTAGAAGAAGGGGCGGGAGAAGCTAGTTGTCCTCATGGGTCAGTTTGCTGATGGAGGGGAAGAAGAGGAGCTCTATTTTGTCTGTGATATATGAGTAAAGTCATCCACTTAGAATGAGGGGATTGTAGAGCATGTTAATAGTTTGGAACAGCTGTAAGGGAAATCTGAACCTGAGCTGACTGGGGACAAATAAAAAGACCGCCAGTAGCACAGAAGGCCAAGCTGATGCTGGAGAACATAGATTTGTCAGAGTGCCAGTAAATGGAGTTGTGTGATTTTGCTCTGTCCATGCTCAGCTGCCTGGAAGCAGGAGCTGAGAAAGTTAGTGGTTGGATTGATCCAGGGCTGGGGATTGGCAGGGCAGGTGCAGCAAAACGTTTTACTGATAATTTGAAGTTCAAGAGTCTAACAGGCAAAAAGAACTAATTTTCCCTCTAATTTTAAAAAATAAGTTGGTAAATAATGGTGATAATGGTGAGAACAAGCTCTATATGTAGCTATAACCTATAGTTATCCTTGGTGAGTTGCCCTTCTTGCTCCTTGTACAACTTGTCTTTGGAGTTCATAACTGATGTAACTACTGTAACTGGCTAAGGATAAGTAGCATAGCTTATTTCTTATTGCTTAGGTAAAATTAATCATGCTTCAGCCACATGAGATTTTTTTTTTAATGTTCCTAATACTCCCTTATTCCTCTGGTAAAATCTGGCAGAAGGAAGGTAAGAGAAAAAAAATTAAAACCCTAAAAACGTAATTACGCACTCAGAGAAAGTATTGCTTAGCTAAGCATCTTGCTATTAATTAGCACGTTGTAAATTTTGCTGCCTTGGCTGATACTAAGTCATTGCATTTAGGAGAGCCATTAAAAGAAAACAAAAGAAAAACATCTGGAGTAGCTTAGCTCCAAAGCAGACCTCAGGCTGAAATAGCATTGTGTTGCATTTCTCTTTTTCCAATTGCCTGCCAAATCCCCCAACTTCCCCATTTCTGTGAGGTTACATCATAAGCATTTGATAAAAATAGTGTTGCTCTTCATAAAGACTGCGTATGCACACTGAAGGCAAACACAGCCCTGATAGTCATGCCGGGTTACTGAATGACATTCCTTAAGCTCTGTCCTTTTATTTTCTGTTTCTTCAGAACAGGGGTTTCATCTCTTATATATTTTTTGATGACTGGCAGGTGAGGTGAGCAAGCCAAGTGCGATCATTTAGAATTGCATTTGGGGCAATTCTTCCTCAATACAAAGGATTTAGCAGGAGGCAACCATGTTAAAATTCTAAAAGGAGATTATTGCTGCAAATGGCTTTTCCCCAGTAGACCCTCTCTCAGAATTTCAGTTGTTGATAACTAGCAGGTTTTATCTCTAGGAACTAAGATCATTTTCTCATCACTTCTGGCCTGCCAACTTGTAGACTGTCTTCAGCTGAAGCAGTGCTGCCAGAAGGAATAACTGAAGAAGTTACTCAACTCTATTTATTTTAGAGTATGATAATTTGAGGGAAAATTAAAATTGTCAGTTTTCCATTACACCCTCAAGCTCTCAGTGCTGGTTATCTCATCAGAACTAAAAAAACATACTTTGGCGGAAAATTGTGTAAACAGATGGAAAAGCCGAGAAAAATAAGGAACTAATGTCTCATCAAGGGCCACATAATATGTTTAGGGCAGAGCTGAACACCTGAACATCCTTCCTGATCTGACCGGAGGACTTCCTGCTCTAGTTCCGGGACAGGGAGATGTGTAGATGCTGAATATCTGAAGTAAACACTGGGCAGAGGTCTGATTATCTAAGGGGCAAGGACAATAGATTTTTAAATGTTCACACATTGATCTGCAATGATCTGTACCACAGGCCTAGAGACTTTGAGCCCTCTGAGGGCAAGGACGATGTAGAGTTCATCTTTGTATACCTGGCCCCAAGCCCAGTGGCTGGCATAGGACTAGAAATCCATTGAACATTTAAGAAATTCTGAATAAATCCAGATCTTTTAAAAATATTGTTAGATAACCACATTTCTCTACTCGAAATGCTGCAATAGCTTCTCGTTTCACTCAAAGTCAAAGTCAAAGCCTGGATGGATCTGGTCCTTTCTGCCTCTGTGGTTGGTATCTCTTCCTCTCCCTTCCAGATTCTGGCCCCCACCCACCCTCTGGTGGCTCCTTGTCCGCAGGAGGCAGCTCCCTTTGCACCGGCTGTTCTTTATGCCAGGACTCCTACTCTACATACCTAAAGGCTGCCTCGCTTATTTTCTTTAAGACTTTGTTCAAATGTCACTTTTCATTTAGTAATAGTTCTACTGTCCTTTACAAAAACTGCAGCTCTCTTACACCCCCCGGCCATTCACACTGGCGATCCTGCTTAGCCGGCTCCATCATTCATAACGCTTACCACTTTCTAACTCCAACTTACCATAACATTTACTATTATTACATTTATGTTTGGTTGTCTTTCTCCTCCTAACAAGGGCAAGGATTTTTGTCATTTCTTTTCACTGTATTCCCAGTGTTTCAGCCAGTGTCGGACATATAGGGGATGATTTGTAAATGTTGTATGAATAAATGAACAAAGTTGGATTAGTGAAGCGAGTGGATGTGTCTCATAGTGAAGGAGATGCACTCTTACCCAGGTGTAAAGGTTAAAGGGACCATCAGTTTTGGTAAATTTATAGAGGTGTATACTCACTTTCATATTCAAAAGCCCTTGTAATTCAGGATAAGCTTTGTCAACCTCCCTACGACTTCCAAACTGTTAAATGTGAAGTTCTCTTGGTAAGAATCTGTGGTTCAATTCCTGATGAATTCAAACAATGAACATATGTGTGGATTGGTATTTCCCAATGTAGACTTATGAGGCCCCTACATTAGGAACACTTGTTAAGTACTGTTTTCCAATTCCCCAGCCCTATCCAGTTTACTGAGTGATTGCTAAGAATTAGATCTCCAGGTGACTCAAATGCATGCTACAATTTGAGAATTATCAGTATATAAAAATTTGCCAAAAGCGATGAGACTTTAATAAAATAGGATTTCCCCTCCTGTGGTATAATTGTTACATAGGATGTTGATGAGGTTGCAGTTAGAAAATAAAGTGTTCCTTGAAATAATAAGGTAATACTGAATTAAATGAACGTTTAATAAGCTGACATCATTGTGTATTCCCAAGAGCAGGCTAAGGTATGTAGCATCGCAGATTTATTCCATCATGGACATCTCTTTTTAGGCAACTCATTAGCTTTTGGGGAGAGGCGGGTTTTCTTCTCTTTAAAGAAAAAGTCTGAGCACTTCCATTATACATAATCTCTAATATTTATTCCTGATTTTAACACTCTATAATTCTCTATCTTGTCAATTCCCCTTAGTTTATAATCTAGTTGCAGCTTTTTATACATAAGAAAAAATATAAAATAGTATTCCTATATTTCATGGTTTCTAGGACTCATCCTTGCAAATAAGTCTTTGCATTTGTGTGTATGAGACATGCACGCGAGCGCGCGCACACACACACACACAGAGAGAGAGACAGAGAGAGAGGAGAGAGAGAGAGAGAGAGAGAGAGAGATTGTGAATGAGAATACGATAAATGCCAGTTAAGAAAGGTGACACAAAGAAGCCTGTATATAGTGCACTTAAATAAGGGAATCTGCTTTTTAAAGTAAAATTCGGTGGATTTGTAAATGAGGGTTTTGCCTTTCATGTAAAGTGGTATATGTTAGTGATATACACATATAAATATCCCACTGGGTATAAGCACATGTGGGGCCTGGTTTTTCTGTATTGATTACCATTAATCTATTCCTTATGTAGCTTTCCATTGTTGTGGCATGGCCCATGGAAACAAGATAGGTATGTGCCTGGAATAAACAGCCTTTTTCCTTTCTGAAAACCGTGCGAGGTCTACAGCACATTACATCCTTCTGTGTAATGGAAGTATCCACACATGGGCAATTGCTGTCTACAGACGTAATGAAGCAAGTGGGAGGTAATGAGAAGTGACTGTTACGCCATCCCCAGAGCCCCCTTTCTCCCACCACACAATTACACTGTGACCCTAGAGAAACCAAGAAGACGGTAACATTCTCACCTTCCGTAATGGTCTTAAAATTAGCCCTAGCTTACCAGGGATAACTAAAATGCAGCATTATTCATTTGGCAGTCCAGAGGATGTCCAAGGAAATACATGTTTATAATATGGGAGGCAGCTCTATATACAATCAGACACTGTCTCCTCAGAGTGGACTTGGCCTCTTGCCTGAAAGATGCCAGCACACTATGACGGTCCTTTCCTGTTTTCCCTTGGCATGTGTTTTTTGGGGGGAGAGCTGTTGCTGCATTTGTTAACAAGAGTGTCCAGGGGGGAGGTTGGTGGTCAGAGCCACATTTCTATTGGAGGAATATATGTTAAGGCTTTAAAAGAAAAATAAAGCTCCTTTAAATAATGATTATAAGTGCAGCGATAGCAATGCATTACCCATTTTATTTCTGAGTTTTGTTTCAGGGAGAGCATTAAATTTAGTAACCAATTTTATATGACTTATGCTTGTGGTGAGAGGGAGATGTCAAGGTTGAGGAAATGGTAGAGGGTTGCCCGCTGAGTCAACTTTTAGAAAGAGAGAGCGAGCGCGAGCGCATACAAAAAATGCAAAAAGGTGTAAGACTTAAAATTCTTTTCTTTGTCTTCATTTTGCTGTTATAGCTGAGGCTTGCCCACATTCTGGGGGAAGTCTGCCAATTGCTCCCTGAATGGTGAATGGAAACAAGCTGGTCTGCTGTGTTGCTTGGCAAAGATAGAATAGCAGCACAGGCTTGCTGCTGGCTGGATGACACCATTTTCCACTCCTCTGCTCCTCTGCCTGCAGGAAGCCCCCAGGTGGCATTAGGGAGAATTAGCGTGTAAATTACAGGGCCTGCTAATTTCTCACCACTTCATTAGTTGACAGTTCAGTGAAAGAGCTCCCCTGCCATTCACCTCGTCTGTGGCACTGACACTTCTCATCAGCAGAGGCAGAGTTCAGTCGTGTTGTGTTGACGTGCTTGTGACTTTTCAGTTCCCCTCCGAAGGTGTGTGCTGGTTTATTCTCTGACTCTGTTACTAGCAATTACGTCCTTGGGTGTCCCTGCAACATCTACCTCAAATCTTCTTTTGGTTCAAACTTAATTGTCGCCAGGAAAAGGGAGAAATTTCTCTTGATTTTGTCCATACCTTTTTACAGAATGGTTTCAAAATATGCCCCAACGAAAGGAAAAATAAAAATAATACACTTTATAAAAATAAACTCTTCTTCATAATTTTCTTCATAGCTAGTATTTTTTGAGTGCTTATTCTGTGCCAGGCATTGTTCTAAGTACTCCACAGTCTGTTAAGGCGTGTGTGTGTGTGTTTTTAATTCAGGAGGAATCTGAGGCACAGAGAGGTTAGGTTTATTGCCTAGGACACACAGCATTTGAATATTGGAAGTTTGGATCCACAACCCACACTCTTGAGTACTGGAGCATTTTGCCTTACTTAGGCAATTACTTAGTTAATTCTTGAATTAATTCAACAAACTTTAATGAAGTACCAGCTATATATAACTTATTATGCCAGAATTTCTTAGCCTATCAATCCTTCCGTTTCTATTGGTGAGGAGCTGTTTGTTGAGTACTTCCTATCTCTCCAGGAGTATGCTCATGTAGGTACAAGAGAATGCAGGGTGGGACCTTACCATCAGAAAATTTAAGTACATGTATATAGTTGACAAACTTTTCTCTCCAAAGGGCCAGATACAAAATACTTTTTGCTTTGGAGGTCACGTGGTCTCTGTCCCAACAATCATGAAGCAGCTGCAAATATTATCCAAATGCATTAGTACGTCTATTCTGATAAAACTTTACAAAAAATTAGTACCAGACCATATTTGGTCCACGAACTGCCTGCTCTGGAGAATAGAAGAAGCCAGAAGAAACATACTGGACGGTAAACACTGACAGTGCAGTGAGAAGGGAGCTTCTCCGTTACTGCCTATGTGTTCTTGTGCGTTCTTCCCTCACGAACCGGAAGCTTGTGCATTCTTCCCTCACGAACCGGAAGTATTTGATATACACTTGTGAGGTTGTTAGGTGGGTTTCACTAACTGCCATAAATTTTATTACTATGTCTGGTAGGCAAGTTGGTTACCTAATGTCCATTTTCCCCTCTTTCCTTGTTAACAGAACCCGGGTTTTGTTTGGTGCCACTGCAGGTTCAGCCCCAAGCAATGGCTCATAGTTGATAACAATGTCTCCATAATTGTGTTCTCAGTTTCCCTGCCTCTTTTGCAGTTGACGGTGGTCATGTGGCCTAGTTCTGAACAATTAGAAGTAGGTTTGCCGGCTGGGTAAAGTCAGGAGGGCTGTTGGGAAGCCTTTTGCTTGTCTGATCAAAGGAACAGACAAGTTAATGTCACACCTCCCTCATATTTTGTTGCCACAAGTTTAAACATGAACGTGAGCTGGAACAGACGTCTTGGGGCCTTGAGGGAGCAAGCCAGCATGTTACAGATAGAGAATGAGGACAGAGAAAAAGAGCCTGGGCCTCTGATGACACCAGGGAGCTACTACATGGGTGCTGCTGCCACCCTCCAGCCTTCTAATTTTAAGAGTTTACTAAATTTTTTAATTGATTTAAGTCATTGTTAGTTGAATAACAAATGTATCTTTAAAAACATTTCGGGAAAAGTTAACTAGAAATTACTTACTTCTAGAAATTTCCCATCATCTTAGCTATTTCAGAAAATTGTACTAAATCAAATGAGAATTGTTTCTAATTCCTTTCACTTTCTTAGTAATCTCTTTCTTCACAATATAATACTAAGGAGAAAAAAGTACATTAGAGATAAATATTAGCCTATATTTCATTTGAGTATTATCATAAATGTCTTAAAGTAAGAACAACGGGTTAAAAGTGGTTGTGTCTGGGTAATTGACACTAGCTGTTGGAATTAGGAGTGCGTTTTTTGTTTTGCTTTATTTTTCTAACTTTTCTATAGAAAATATATAAATGAAAAAAATTAAAATCATACTAAAAAAATCAAACCAATTTTATTTTTAACGCAAGTTGCTTTTCTGACTTATAGTATTTCCCTAACATAGTTTTTCCTTTGGCTAAGCTCACTTCTTTTTAGTTTTGTTTCCTATACTGTTTTTTTGCTCATTAGTTGTGTACTATGCCTGCCTGCCTGCCTTTCCTTTCCCTTCCCTTCCCCTTCCTCCCTCCCTCCTTCCCTTCTGATCTGGGTTGGCTGTATCCTCACTCAAATCTCATCTTGAATTATAACTCCCACAATACCCATGTGTCATGAGAGGAACCGGGTGGGAGCTGATTGAATTATGGGGATGGGTCTTTCCTGCACTGCTCTTGTGATAGTAAGTGAGTCTCATGAGATCTAATGGTTTTAAAAAGAGTTCCCCTGCGTAAGTTCTCTCTCTTTTTGCCTGTTGCCATTTAAGACATGCCTTTACTCCTACTTGCCTTCTGCCATGATTGTGAGGCATCCCCAGCCACGTGGAACTAACTGTAAGTCGAATTAAACCTCTTTCTTTTGTAAATTGCCCAATCTTGGGCATGTTTTTATCGGCAGCATGAAAATGACTAATACTCCTTCCTTCCATTCTCCCTCCCTCCCACCTCCTCTCTCCTTCCTTCCCTTCCTCCATCCTTCCTTCTGTCCCTCCCTTCTTCCTTCCCTCTCTCCTTTCCTTCCTTCTTTCCTTCCTTCCCTCTTTCCTTTTTCCTTTCTTTCTTCCAACAAGTTACTGCTTTGCCACTCAGTCTGGAGTGCAGTTGTGTGAACACTACTTATCATAGCCTTGACCTCTGCACTCAAGCCATTCTTCCACCTAAGCCTTCCAAGTAGCTAGGACTGCATGTGCCCACCACGACACCTGGCTAATTTTTGTATTTTTAGTACAGACAGGGTCCTGTCATGTTGCCCAGGCTAGTCTTGAACTCCTGGGCTCAGGTGATCCTCCTGCCTTGGCCTTCTAAATTATTGGGATTACAGGCATGAGCCACCACACTTGGCCTATATACTTTCTACACCTTCTTTTTTCATTTGAATGCATTCTGTCTTATGATGTTGCAAATTTCAACTTTGTTCTTGAAGTTTGAACCTTATGTTACTAAGTTTCATCAAACCATCATCTTCATTCATTTAATAAATGTTGTTGGTGGCAGCCACTATACTATGTGCTATAGAATTAGGAGGAATGACGGCCATAGCACCCTGAACACACCCGATCTCGTCAGAATTAGGAAGAATGAACATTGGAAACTTTGTGCTCTTCTCTGTTTCTCCTCTTTCTTTTGGGCTGACACACATCTCATTCTGTTACACCCAGTATAAATGCAATTTCCTTCATAAAACCTGACGTTGTCAACTCAATGAACTATTCACCCACTCCTCTACATTTCTATTACACTATTGTTTCTAGCTCTCTTTATTTTCTTATTTGATGGTATTTGATAATATATGTGTTTATGGGTGTATGTTCTGGTCTAGACTATGGGTTTATTTAGGAGGGCTACCGTGTCACTTTAATCTTTGCCCAGTGTCCAGCCCTGTGTTGCTCCTTTAGGCAGCCACATCAATATCTGTAGTAAAAACCAAAAGCCACATAAATTGCATGCTCAGAAACGAGCTTTCTCTGAATAGTGTCTTGAACCTGACCTGTATTTTGTCACACCGTATCTCAATTGTCAGTCACTTCTCTCAGATCTCAGTGCCATTTCTTGCTGTCCTTTATCTTCTCCCTTCTTTCAGGTATACCTCACCCATTGTCTCTTCTAGGCTTTCTCAATTGTGCCCCATCCCCAGCTTTATTGTTTTGACACAGTTTGGCTGGGAGTTTCAGATCCTGGAGAGAGATCTGGAGACCGATTTTATTTTACACTTAGCAAGCTCTCAATTGTTAGTCTATTCAACAAATAGGTGGGTGGGCAAGTGAACGTTCAGAGAAAACAAACATTTAAAAACTTGATGCTTTTTATAGTAAGTTTATAAAAAAAACTTATTATTGCGAAAGGCAATAAAAAACAGTGCCATTGGCTGTTGGTGATAGTTATTGGAATGTGGGGAGGCACATGATGTAGGCCTGAAAAACGCCACGGTGGCACGTGGCCAGCACACTCCTGGTCACCCAGTCCTTCTGTGCCACCATTCTTGTTGATACAGTAATCCTCTTTAAATAAGGGGGAAATAAGAGAAACACAACTCTTTGAACTCAAGTTAGATCAGGAAATTGAGGCAATTTCTGGAATGTCAAGAGTAAAAATAAGAAAGGAAGAATTAATCCTGCTAGCCCAAAATGAGAAGCTGTCACCATCAAAGCTGTAACTCTCTAAATGAATATAACACCTCTGAAAACTCTCACAACTGTGCCAAGTATTTACATGTTCTCTCTGAATGTGGCATCTACAGCAAGTGGTTTTGGTCGTGAAGCACACCATCTGTGTGATTACCCACCCCTTGCTAGAGTACTCTGAACTCAGCAGTTGTACAACAGATGCATTTAAATATACAGTATTCCTCTTCTCATAGTTCAGAATGGGTGTTAGAAACTGAGGCAAAACAACCAGCTTCCTTGAAAACTCAGACTCCATCTGACATTTTTCCAGACACCTTTTGTAACCATGCTTCATGCTATCCTGAAAGATAACAACATTATGGTAATAGATTTACAGATAGTTAAACAGGTCAGCCTGACCCAGAACATCAGCAGCTGCTGTCATCATCATTAATGAGTCAGTTAATCCAGAAGGTGAAACCAGATAACTGTTTGGTTTTCATTCAGATGAAGATCTGTGTAGTCATGGGAAAAAACAAAGGTATAGGAGTCAGATTATAAGCAGTCCAGATAGATGAAAAAAAATGTTTTTACTATAATTCATTACTATGATGTATTAGTAGATGTGTCTTTGAAAAGACAACACGAGACTAGATAGTTTTTGAGGAATTTATACAAGTAAGAATGAAGGATTGAATTCCAACCCCCTCTTTTATGTTTGTTTAAATACTCCACATGCATTCACCAAGGTGTGGTGTTTTATTCAGGGATTAAATTATCCTAAATGCAGGACTGAGATCTAAAGTTGCATTCATCAGAATGTGCATCTTAGTAAAAGCTGTTGAGCCCTTCTGAATCATGACCTCTCTTGCCTCCAATTGATTCAGTAACATCATGTTCTTTCAGTTGGTCATATGCCATGCTGAATGAGAGATGGACATTGTTACATAAATAGCACAGGTGTGTGTGTGTGTGTGTGTGTGTGTGTGTG